CGTGTCCAATAATATTTGATGTCCCGCCATATAATTGCTGGGTCTTTTATTTTCTTCGAAAATATACATGAGTTCAACAAAAACGGTATCTCTTGGAATTGAAATTTACTGAGAAGAACAGTGAGTGATAGTTCTGTTTACAACCTCCCGCTCTATTTCTCTTTTACATGCATGACTTTATGTCGCGTGAAGCATTTCTTTATAAACAGGAACAATTTTCCCATTGGATGTCCCACTTGCCCACCGCTGGTATAGTACCGAGTGTTAACAATATTTGCATACGATATGCTCACAACTTCCATTGGAGCCATCTACTGTTCATTAGTCGACTTGTTTCGAGTTCTCCATTTTTCTTTTAACAGATATCGTATAAAGTCGCCATGTGTGTCCTTTATGATTTTGTGACTGTATGGCATTTTCATTTAGAACATCAAGAATTCGCTGCACCCGGTGCGTGTGAGGAACTTAATTGTAAAGGTCGTCTTTGCGCAAAATGCCACAAGTGTCGTGATTGGCATTTTGATGGCGATCAGGGCACTTGGAATTGGATCCAAAATTACAAGAATTGGAGTTCGGAAGATTGTGAGCGTTGGAACAGTGGTGTTTACGCGTGTTTCAAGAAACGTACTGGTGCAACTTGTTTTGATCGTGTTGGTCGTCTTCGTGTTGGTCGTCGTGATGATGGTTATTATGTTTATTATCTTCGTGGTGTTGGTTATCTTCTTCGTCATGTGTGTCTCTGTGACCGTCATTAAAACTTTTTGTGTGTGCTCAATTTTTTTTTTTTGATAGAAGCGGGTGGGAAAAAAATAAAAAGTAGTACACTCAGGCCATGCCAGACTTCAGGCAACAATAGATTTAGCTCACGTCAACGCTGTAGCCACATGTGCACTCCAGACACGTTCAGATTTCGGGCAAGTATAGGCGTCACTCGCGTATGCAGTCGGCCAACGTTTACACATCGGCCACGTTTACACATCAGCCACGTTTACACATCGGCCACGGTTACACATGGGCCACGTTTGCACATCGGCCACGTTTACACGTCAGCCACGTTTACTGATCGGCCACGCGTAATGCGAGCAGTTGCGAAGCGACTGGGAGCGCAAATTTTTTTAAAGGATAGATGTCGCTAGTGTACGGTGTAAAATATTGTAAAAATCGTAAAAAAATAGATAAATAAATGATTAAAATTAGATAAAACTATTTTTAAAAATTCTAGAATGCTGTATCTTATAAAATAATATATAATACGATGTGAAATTACGAAATAAATATTATCCAATGAAATATCTTATTCATTGGATGATGACTTGAACCAATGGAACATTTGTTCCATGTTTTACTGTTCTATATCCATAGAATTGTTTGACATGTTCGTGAAAAAGATGGATGTATGAATCATAGGGAAAATAAAAAGGGAGAATTTAGGTTTTGTTTTTTTTGCTGGTGTACTTGGAAATAATTGTCTTTAGAAGAAATAAATTTAAAATTTCGTTTGCATTTATAAAAAACATGGTAGATTTTTTTTTCTAAAAATCGTTTTTATTTTTTGTTATGCATAATGTATTTAAGCAAGTCCAGTGAATTTGTGGTATTTTAATGAAAAATGGAAAGAATATTTTAAATTTGTGGAATAATATATTATTAGAGTAGTTAGTCATTTTTGTTCTGTTCGAAACAAATAATCTAAAATATCTTTCAGTTCTTGTTTGTTGCGAACATAAAATCCTATGAACCATTTGAGATTGGAAGAAAACTAAACATCAAAAAATAACGTTAGATTTGCTAGGTCAGGATTCGAGTATTTTCTGAAGAATCTATGGGCTTTTTTATTTCAAACTGAATTCTAAAATCAAAAAAACCGCACCAACTTCTTCCGAATCAAACTTTTCTCGTTTGATACTACGTAGTCCCACTAAAAACCCTTAGTCCCCCCTAGTCCTGCAAAGTCCCGCTTAGTCCCCCCCACAAAAAGCTTAGTCCCGGCTTAGTCCCTTGTGCAGGGGACTAAAGCCTATAGTACACAAAGCCACAAGCACACCCTCACCCTCACTCGCGCGCCCACACCCGCACCATGGGTGTGGGTGTGTGTGTGGGTCCCAGACCAACACCCACACCCTCAGTCACTCCCCCCCCCTCACTCCTAGACTCACGTTTCAGTTTGAAATCAAGTATTATTTTTATTTGATAAATTCAGACTGAAATTAAATAGCCCATAGTATGTTTCTGAATGGATTTGCTTAGGAAGGTTACCAAGCGATGAAACGAGGGACCAAGATAAATCTCGACAAGCTCTACAGAATGCATATGTTAAGAGTTCGACTCCATACTCTTGTCTCCTAGAAAATGGCTAAAAATCCAGCTTCCTCGACTTTTTGCTAAACCCTGTCTCGATTCGCTCATGAGCACTTTGCTACAATACAAGTCGTGTTTCCAGATAGGACTCGACGAACACTGTCGGTGTTTTTCTGTTATTAGCTCGATTCGAGTCAGAGATTACTCTGAAAATCATTAAGTATTCTTTAGTTTTCTAATTCATTTTATTAAAGCTATCCTAATTCAATCATGAGCACTCTTCAACAAAGTGATGAACATCACTGTTTTGAAATCTTGTACAGCTTTATTGAGAAATTCGGTAGTTATTCTTTTTTTGTTGGCAGTTTGATGAGAAAATTTCTTGTTTGGTTTTTTGTTTTAGTCAGCAAGGATATTCCAACGACGGACGACGCACGTCTAGAGTTAAGGGTAGCATATTTTTTTGCTTTTGTTAATTTCAAGCGAAAAAAGAATTTATTGCATGTAAATAGAAGAAGAAAAAAATTGTATTTAAAGATTGAACGAACGAAAAGGAAAATAATGGATCACACGCTTATACGAATAGAAAGGAAAATAATTTCAGTGGCTGATTTTATTGAGATGAAAGAAAAAAATTTATCGTTCAACTATATGAAGAGCAAGAAAAGAAAAAAAATTCATCTTTCGTTTTTATGAACAGGAAGGGAAAAAAATCTCATTTGACGATTTCATTGGGAGGAAAGAAAAATAATTTATCCCTCACTTATATTATTAGCAAGGAAAGAAAAAAATTTATCGTTCGTTCATATGAATAGGACGGAAAGAAAAAATATTGTATTGTGCATTAATATGAAAACGAAGGAAAAACGCTCATTGGAGAAGTTTATCAATATGCAAAAAAAACAAAAAATAATAGTTCGCTTGTTTCAACTTATAGGTGTAATGGAATAATATGTTGCACGCTTTGCTATGTGCCACAGAGTTACCAGAAAGACCAAATTTGTCAATGATGAAAGCGTGTATTCGTGCATATAAGATATGACAAGGATAGAGCTCGTCGAGTTCTATCTTCATCCATCGTTTCATCGCTTGGTCCTCTTGGTGTGCGAATCACGACAGATTTTAGCAACAAACCTGGTAACCTGGGCTCTTTTAGCCGTTGTCTAGGGGACAGCAGCTTTTTAAACATCCTTACTTTGAGACCTGAAATAAGAAATATATTGTGCTACACCCGTATTTACCTTGTACATATTTATTCGAGAAAACATAATTTGCAGATGAATATACAAAAACAATTCAACCGATAACTTACAATACAAAGTATTAAAAGTAAAGAACAAAGATAAGCATTTTTTTCAAAATCTATTCGATCAAAAATATCAAATGAATCAAAATAATTCCTATATTTAATTACTTTAAACTAAATCTACTACGAAATCATGAACATAATCGAGTTAAAACGGTTGATAGTTATAACAATTGGGGTTGATGGTTAAAAGAAAATTACCTTTTTGACCAAAAAAGTTAATCAATTATAACTCAGAACTTAAAACTCGACTATTTCTAAATCTCATGCTGATCCGAACTCGATTAGACACACTAAACTGCTATTGAAACCATACTCCAACTCTACGATGTACTGTATTAAACAAAACTTGAATCAAACTTGAAATTTACATATATAAGATCAGTTTCTAATTCTTACCTTTTCCTATTTGTTTTCAATTTTTAAATCTTCAAAAGAACTTTCTTTGACATTGCCATAATTCAACCATTACCTTCCATCTATGTTCCATTACCACTTGCCTGGGTATAAATGGGCAATTAGTGAAACAATCAAAGAATGCGATTGTATGAAAATCTTGGCTAAATCTTGATGCCAATAAATGCATAGTTTCATTTTTACTATTTACAGCGTCCAAACATGTAGCAGGTAACCATAGACCAATATCTCCACAACAACTTCGCTTTCATAAATTTCTATTATCAATTATTAGTGAGTCGATGCATGCTATATACAACACTGTGTTCATTTATATATAAAACCCACTTTACAGATACTTTACGAATACATTTAGGTCTGAACTTCTTCTTGTCCAATCTGTAGACCAATTCTATTTATCGTAACGAATTATGGCCAATAAGACAGAACTTAAGTGACTTCAACTCACTTTCTTCTAACATTCATTTACCAACTACAACTTTCTAATGTTCTTATCCATTAAACGAAGGTTAAAACAATAACTTCTCCTCTGACTAGCAAACCATTCAATACGAATACTTACTATTGAAAGCAGTCCATCAAAACGCCAGTACGTTCATTCATCTCCTCCACTATATTGTCTTATTTACAAAGACATATTATCTACAGACTATTTTAAATGCCATCTTTAATTAGTATAAGCATTAAGTTTACTGAGCGATAAAAACTTACAACGACTTAATATTAAAACAGCAAATGTTCCACTGAAAGGAATACGTACTAGATTCTGGCGCTTCGCTTGACGTTCATTGATACTAAGTCTTTCTATTTCAATTGGACTTTTAAATAATTTGTTATCATCATTCCAGAGTACAACAACTAACCAAGATCAACAACATATCCAACATCAATGTCTATCAATCGCATCAATGACTCAAACAGATTCAAGTGGCATTGCATCATTAACTCCAATCTCTCAACAAATGTTACACAGAAACAAAGACCTTCATACTGACTCATTTCTAGCCGTCTATCTTAACCTTCTACCAAATACGGCACATTCAAACTACGGATACAAAAATACACATTAATTTCATCCCTATACACAAGACGCGGATGCCTATGTTTACAAAGCGTTTTACGCTGTTCCACATGCCACAGAAAAATTCCTCAAGACACATCTCATCACCTCTTTTGCTCACTTCGAAGCAAACGTTGCGACTCGGTCAGCT